GCATTGCTTGAAATCCCTACAGAATCTCTCTGCTTTTGGGGGTTGCCCCTCTCTTTCCCCAGCTATTCATTGCTGACTTTCAGGCAGAAACCCAACAGATGCAGCACCTTTCCAATGCAGGAGAACAACCTACAGGTTGGCTTGCTGCTGCTGCTGCTGCAGAGCCTGAAGGCATAGGAGACATCATCCCCAGCTGAATGGATGTTTTACAGGAGTCCTGCCTTCCAACAACTCTCTCTTTGGGATTATCAGGACCCAGGAGGGATTTGGGGCTGAAAATGGGCAATATATATATATATATATAGAGAGAGAGAGAGAGAGATGGGTTCAAGAATTCCCATTGCAGCTGCAGCTCTTGCCGAGTGATCTTGGAGAAATAAATCACATTTGGCTTGGCCTTCTTTGCAAGGTTGTTGTGAGGAGGGAAGAGAGGAGAGGGGAAGCTGCTTATCTTTGCCCAAACTTGTTTACATGAAAAAATAAGATTATGAAATTCATATTATTTTTATGAACAACTTCCTGCCTGCCGTGAAGCCTGGGCAAAAGTCAGCAAAGTATTTGCTTTTCTGCCCCAGTGATAAAGTGTTTTGGGGGACTTTCCTTCCCTTCAGGTGGAGCTTGGAGGGGTTCTTCCTTTTTTGGGTTGCAACCCCCAGAATCCTCTCCAGTGTTGGGGACTGTCGCTCCTAGCAGGCTGCTGGGTGTTGCAGATCAGCAGCATTTTTAGAGGATGACACCATTCCCATACTTACATCAGCCTGGAAAAGTTCCTTTTTGGGGCCTCCAAAAGTTGGCGCTTGTGGGAGTTGTAGTCCCAAAAGGAAACTTTGCCATGCCCTGGGCCGGCTGGTATTTATGCAGCATCCTTGCAAAGAAGGGAATGCCTCTTTCCTGGGCAGGGTGACCAGACATCCTCCTTTTTTTTCCAGGACACGTCCTCCATTTCATCCTTCCATCCATCCAGAGGGAATCCTGCAATGTCCTCCATTTGGAGCAGGACTCAGAAGGGTGCATTTCTCTTCCTAGGAGTGCTTTGAGCTTTTCTTTGGGTCACGTCCTCCATTTGGGGGGTGCCTTGTCCTCCTTTGCGGCTAGGACATCTGGTTTCCCCTTTGGTCATTTGGGGGGGGGTTGGCTGGGGCGTCCAGAGAGCGGAGCCGCAGACAGAGGCCCCTTGTTCTGGGGTCCCTCGGCCCCTTTGGGGCTGAGACAGAGGGCCTTTGTTCTCCCAGGGGAAGGACTGGGAGATGTAGGGCAGCCGCTGAAGCCTGACCCCTGGACGTCCCAAGAAAAGAGGAGGAAACGCAGAGGCTTCCCTTTCTTTTGGAAAGAAAGGAGATTTAATTTCGAAGCATCAACTGTAGGCCAAGGAGCACAAGAAACTTTTCCCTTTTTGTATTTGTTGCCCTTGTCATGTTCCTGCAAATCGAGTCTGATCTACCTTGATTTGGATATACAGTACATACTCATAAGGCAGCGTGGGTCCCAAACTTTGGTCATCCGAGCGTTTTGGGACTACAGCACCCAGCACTCCTGACTGTAGGCAAAGTTGGTTGGGAAATCTGGAAGATGATGTCCAAAAATGCCCAGAGTGCCAAAGTTTGGGAACTGTTGTCCTAAGGATTTCATGGAAAGGTTTATTCCAAGGAGGGTTGCTGTGGCTTTCCTTTTGGGCTGAGAGTGTGTGACTTGCCCGGGCTCACCAAGGAGATTGCAGTGGCTGAGCAGGAATTTGAACAAAGGCCTAGTCCAGCACTGAAACCACTATACCATGCTGCGTCTTCTAAGGTTTTCTGGGCAAGATTTATTCAGAGAAGGTTTGCCATGGCCCTCTTCTGAGGCTGAGAGAGTGTGACACACCTCAGGCCCTGGGCAGCTTAAACAGGGAGATAAGGTCTCTTAGATTGCCTGGTCTTAAGCCATACAGGTTGAGTCTCCCTTACTCAGAATTCCAAAATCTGAAATATTTTTGGGTGGCTGAGACAGTGGCACCTTTGCTTTCTGATGGCTCAGTGTAT